CGGCAACACTCCCAGCTTTTGTGGTGTTTGGCACAGAGAGTGACGTTACTGTCAGCAAAAATGAATGCGCAAAACCAGAGGGACCACACAGCTTAGGGGTGGTGGAGTTTACAGCAACAACGCATCAGGAGTTGATTTTCCTTCCGTCTTTGGCAAAGAAAATAAACTCTTCCCCCGATATGTTGCAAATAGAAAAATATTTTACAAACACTGTTTAAATCAGTATATGAGTTTGAGATTTAAGTAACAACAACACAAAAAAGTGCAGAACTATGAGGTAGAATGAAAAAAATTATTATTTCAAAAAATTGGAGAAAAAATTCAAAACATGTTCATGTTCAAAACATGATCCCTTTACTTGGATTTATCACTTAATTGGATTAATCACTTACTTGGATTTTCACTTTACTTGGATTTTTTATTTTACTTGGATTTATCACTTAATTGGATTAATCACTTAATTGGATTTATCACCTACTTGGATTTATCACCTACTTGGATTTATCACTTACTTGGATTTATCACTTACTTGGATTTATCACTTACTTGGATTTTCACTTTACTTGGATTTTTTATTTTACTTGGATTTATCACTTAATTGGATTAATCACTTAATTGGATTTATCACCTACTTGGATTTATCACTTACTTGGATTTATCACTTACTTGGATTTATCACTTACTTGGATTTTCACTTTACTTGGATTTAGTTTTACATATGCATATATATAGATACATATATATACAGAAGAGCTATATGTGTATATATTTTATCTCTTTTTTATTTTTATCTTTATTATCTTGTGTAGTTGGATGTGTATGTATATATATATATATATGTATATATATATATATATATATATATATATATATATATATATATATATATATATATATATATATATATATATAGAAGGCAGTAGTGATAGATGTGGCAATCCCAAGCGACAGCAACATCAAGAAGAAAGAACACGAGAAGCTTGAGAAATACCAAGGACTGAAGGAGGAGCTAGAAAGATGTGGAAAGTAAGAGCAGCAGTGGTGCCAGTGGTAATTGGAGCACTGGGGGCTGTGACCCCCAAACTGGGAGAGTGGCTACAGCAGATTCCAGGTAAAACATCAGAGGTCTCTGTCCAGAAGAGCGCAGTCCTAGGAACAGCTAAGATACTGCGCAGAACCCTCAAACTCCCAGGCCTCTGGTAGAGGACCCGAGCTTGAGGATGACACATACCACCCCACGAGGGGTGAGAAAACAGTTTTGTAACTGGAGTGTGTAACAAAAGTAATTTCCCTCTGGGATTATCAAAGTATTTCTGATTCTAAATGTTGCTGACACCCCTAAACAAAGACTACATTTCACTCTATATATAAATATGGAGTCTGGCAATTATTTTAATTCCCAAATACATTTCTTTTATTGGCTTGAATTAATTATTTTTAATTTTTAATTATTAATTATTATTAGTTTTTATCATTTGTTTAACAGGATGTTTCTTTTAAATGGGTATAGTATATTTTTAAAAGCATAATTAAAGTCATATTTGGATAAATAAAAATACATTGAACTATCTACAATACTATATTTACTTATTTCATGGGACATTCACATTTATGCATCTCATTCATGTTTGCCTTCCATATAATTCAGGGATCATATAATAAGGATTGTGACCTTTGGGAATCAATGCAGTTGGAATAGAAACATCTTTATTGTCGCAAAAGTGGGAAATCAGGTAAAAATATATAAACAGAAGAAACAAGATTTACACAGATTAATTAATCTAAAAAGTGAAGCCCTGAAGCAGAAGAGAAATAACTTATCAAAAAATTAAATAAAGTAAAATGCAGTTATCAATAGATAAGTATTCAGTAAATTCAGTAGTTTAACAGAAGAAAGATGGAAGCCTTTTTGTCTTGTGTTTCCCTTTGGTCATTTTGTCTCACCGTGAGTTTTCTCTCAGTCAAAAGTATTCATGTTTGTCCAAAAGTGGAACGTACAATAACTGATTATAAAATTAAAATAATTTTACTTAATCTTTTAATTTGAGCATTTAATTCTTAGGCATTTTATTATTTCCATCTCAAATAAAAAAACAACAAAAATGTGTTGCCGGAAGTTAGTAAGGACTCAAAATAAATACAAAATCAAATCATATTATAAACCTGTATTTATAAAACTGGCGCTCCTCTGAATAGCTCCCTTATAATCACATTTAAACTTGATGAATTGGGGAAAAATGCAGAAGAAAAATTATAGTCAGAAAGACTTAATTAGTTCCACTTTGTTTTCATCAAGACACCTGAGCTACTTTGATGAGCTTCAACAGATGTTCTCTACATCCAGTCTGTGTGTCACAGCTGAAGGTGAACTCAAACATAGAAGAAAAACTTACTTTTTGACTGATAAAAGCTTATTTAATTTTTCAATAGATGGCAGAACCGACCCCAGCCCCATTTTATTTTATTACCTGCAAAATAAAATATATTTCATTTACCCCTTGCAATGCAGTTGACGACTACAAGCAATACGAGTACCCCCCGTCTGGAATCACTGCAATAACTGAAGGCAAACAATACGTCTTATGATGAAAACACCCAATGTGTTTAATTTAAACTGTAATGGATATCTAAGCTAACACTCAATTAGGAGAGCATTGATCAGAGGAGCAGCCATGGTAACTCTGGAGGAGCTGCAGAGATCCGCGGCTCTATGTCTTAACTTTAATAGAAGAATGATGAGAAGAAAGCCTTTGTAGAAGAAGACAGATCTGCTCTGTGTTAACACTAAAATGCACAATGTCCCTGCTGTTAGTTTCACAGCAAAGCTTTTATTTAGCTGTAGTTTAACTAGCAACTGTTTCCAACTAGAACTAGTTTCTTGGCTAAAGCAATAGTAACCTAAATGCAGTTTTATACCTTTGTCAGAGTGTTTTTCTGTGTTCCTGTGCCACTAAGCAGCAGCTGCTAAGTCACTTCTCCACGAAAGAGCAGACTGACACGGAGCCAGACAGGAATTTACACGCACAATGACCTGAGCCGTTTAGTATGTCTGCTTTCTACTGACAGCACAACCTGCGGAGCAGCAGGGGAACTCGCTCTCAGCCTCTGAGACAGAGAAGTTATACGCAGCAGAATATAAGGCCTGTGTGCGATGGTCCTCACACACACTGACGGTTTATACCTGCTCCATCTGCTGCACTATAACAGATCCACTCCGATTAGAGATAGAGGGATGTCATTTCAGAAAAGGCTGCTGAAGCTGGAGCTGTTGCTGGCTGAGAATGTCATCAAAGCAGTTTGGAGATTGGATTAAAGTCCAGAAATGTTTTTTAAAAGATTTAAACAAAAAATAATAAATTCAGACATATCCACGTTAGTCTGGATACAGGTCGTCTCCTGTGTCATTCAGACTTTATCTCTTTATGAGAGGGGAAAGAAATTTGAGGAAAAAGTTAAATAATTATGAAAAGATAATTAAAGAAAGAAGCCCTTTATGATAAAAAATAATTATATAAACATCTATAAAAAAAAAAAAATATATCAGCTACAAAACTATGGAGCGAAATTTGTTCTATTATTGTTTCAAGCAAAGAAAATGCTTTGTGAATCGAAACTTAGAGAAACAAAATGCAATCGCGAAATGAAAACTTTGAAAAAAAATTCTTAATTAAAGGGTTTTGAGGGTAACTTTGCCATTTTCTCAGATGTTTCAAATATATTTTTTTATATTTAATTTTTTCAAAATTCTTGATTTTTTTTTTTTTGCAGTTTCCATATTTTGAAAATTTTGATGAAATTGAAATTACTGTTTTTCAAACTTAGTTTTAAATATTGTTACTTTTCTAATCACATTTTCCACATCCTATTCTCTTCTTTTCCAGCCAAATACAAACGTTAACTCTTGACAAATAATAATGTTGTTGCTAACGCCCTGCAGACCAATAGAAATGCTTCTTCACTCCTTACTCCAGAGAAAGTCCCGCCCCCAGAACAGAGGAGAAGAATGTGATCTGGAAACGCAGTTTAAAAAGAATCAAAATCTGTAAAACTATCTGAAAAAGAGAAAAGATTAAATTTGAAAAACATAATAGAAAAAAAAATAGATGTGAAGGCATAAAATCTTTAAAAGTAATTTGAAAAATAAAAAAATGAAATAGAAAAAAAATATATATGAGTAAAGAGCAAAGTTGGTCTCAACCTGATTTTTTTTTTTATTTTTTTTTAATACTTGTTTATGCCTGGATTGGATTTTTTTATTTTGATTTAGAAAATGTGTTTCTTTGCAACAATAATGGAACAAAATTAAATCTATAGGCTGAGTTTTATATCTTGTCAGAATCAGCAGAATAAAATCTGTATTGACTGCACTCTAGATCATCTTCAAAACTAAAGATCATTGATTCACCACCAAAGACAGCATTGCTTTGGGAAGAAAAAGGCTCCATAGTTTCAGCCTCCATGTGTACAACTATGATAGAGATATTAAGACTTGCAGATATATTGGTTCTACAAAGAATACAAATCTGCACCACACTTTTCATACTTTGTGTTTTGTAATAAATCCCTGATAAAAAGCAAATTAAGTGTTGTAGAAATGTAAAACAGGTTGTGAACACCTCAGTAAGCCGGTGTTCTGTCAGGCCAGCATACCCATAGTCAATACGCATGCGCAATACGTGAGATTTGTGTTTATCCCTTTAGTTTTGTATGAAAAATAGACTTTAAACTACCTCAACGGCCGTGTTTTCCTTTAATCATGTACAAAAAAAAAAAAAAACTACAAAAATTAAGCAATTAAATTGTTTTTTGTACATGACTAAAAAGATACACGCCCATTGAGTTAGTTTAAAGTGTATTTTTCGTACAAAACTGAAGGGATAAACGTCTGACCGGCTAGCTCATCTGACAGAACACCGGCAATGCTGTGGGCATTCAGGAAGCTGTTAAGCATCACCAGAACTCCCGGACACCTCATAGATCGTGACAGGAACCCGCCTCACCTTAAGCTGCTTCTCCTTCTTCTTCCGCACCTCCTCCCACTCATTGACGATTCGGCCCCACAGGATCCAGGTGTCCTCCTCCAGATGGGAGAGGTTGGAGGAGGCCGAGGAGCTGGACACCAGCGAGGAGCCGCTGTTTCTCCTCGATCCATTCATGGAGCGCAGAGACTTGCTGTCCGTCTCCAGAAGCCTAATATCAGTGCAGGAGGAGAACGATGTTAGTAATTCATAGGCTGTTGACACATGAACTTAAATAAGGCTATTTAAAAGGGGTAAAACGATTTTAGTTTTCTGACTGATCACCTTTCTTTATAAAGCCTGACCTTCCAATGCTGATTTCCTTTAACCAACACCGTCAGCCATTAAAGACTCTGAATACACCTTTAAAGGAATAGTACACCTAAAACATGATTAGCCTTCATTTTCTACTCACCCCCATGCTGAACAACACTCTGGAGTACTTTTTTGATATCTCAAATGCATCTGGAGATCTGGGAGGCTTCTTGCTGTCTGCTGACATTCAAATAATGGAGGTCTATGGGGCCCGAGGCAGAAAGGTCCATAAAAGTCCACAAAAAACGTGTCAATATTCCTCCATACTGCTCGTCCAATGTATTCCAAGTGTCCTGAGTGGGTAGCGTCCATAATTTACTCGAAACGAAGTCATTTCGAATGTTTTTAGAGCATAAACAGTAGTGTATAGTATTTCCTAAAAGCGCGTTCACGAGTCTACGGAAACCGCGGCAGACCAAACCAGATGAAAGTGTGCATGCAGCATCTGCTCTGCCGATAGTGCAAGCGTAGAAGAAGAAATGTGCTGTTTACCTGTGCAAAGAAAGAAACAGCGAAAGAAAAATGTCTGAGGACTTCAGTGTTGAGGAAGAGCATGAGTTCTTTGCCGAGCTGAATGCGCACTTTCATCTGGTTTGGTCTGCCGCGGTTTCCGTAGCGTCGTGAACTCGCAGGCGCGCACTTTCAGGAAATCCTATAAACTACTGTTTATGCTCTAAAAACATTCTAAATGACTTTGTTTCGAGTAAATTATGGACGCTACCCACTCAGGACACTTGGAATACATTGGACGAGCAGTATTGACACGTTTTTTGTGGACTTTTATGGACCTTTCTGCCTCGGGCCCCATATACCTCCATTATTTGAATGTCAGCAGACAGCAAGAAGCCTCCCAGCTCTCCAGATGCATTTGAGATATCAAAAAAGTACTCCAGAGTGTTGTTCAGCATGGGGGTGAGTAGAAAATGAAGGCTAATCATGTTTTGGGTGTACTATTCCTTTAAATTTTCCAATCTTATCCAACTGAAAAAAATGTATCATAAAAACATTTCCTCTTTTAACCCCTTAGCTGTCACCCCAAAAACACCAAAGAAAGCAAATTAAACTTTTTAAAGCTAACATTTTAAACTTTTAACCAGATTGCTTAACTTTTTTCTAGTATTTTAGGTTTTAGTTACCGAGGGTCAAACTATAATGCTACGTTCAGACCGGACGCAGCAAAAGCAGCAAAATCGGGTCTGCTGCTTCATTTTTGCTGCTTGTACCAGTTAGTTCTGACGCGCGGCTAAAGCAGCTTTGCTGCTCTGGCTGCGCAGTGAAAAAGTGAGTCTGACGCGCGTTGGGCGGAGCTACTCTATCCTTTCTCTGCCTTGCAGCTATATTTGCTGTGAACAGTGGGAATAAAGTAGTTTTAATGTTTTTAAGTGGGAAAATCCACCTGAAAACGTAATCAGTGCAGTCAGTTCATCCAGATTACCATCCTGCCTTCTAATATTATTTCTGTCGGAGCCGCTCAGACCTCCACATACCGGCGGTGCGCTGTCAGTAGGAATCCCATTCAACAGCAGCCTATGGCCGGTCGCCTCCTCGCGGTTCGCCGCGGCGGCTGGAAGGTGGTTTTCATGTACGTAATTCAAACTGCAGGCACCAGGATAATAAAGGCGAACACGCTCTGTCGGCAGATTTCAGCATTTTAAGTTAATTTAGGCGTTAATAAACTGTTTCAGAGGAGTGATCACAGCGCTCTGATCATCAGCGATGTGTCTGTCTCCCTGCCAGCTCCCAGATCAGCGTCTCTGATTGGTTGATGCAGCGCGTTGAGCAGCAAAAGTTCAATTTTCGATCTCGAGCAGCGGCGCGTTGTGCGCGTCAGATGCTTGAACGCTCCCGATGTGCTGCTTCAGCTGCTCACACACGCTGCGCCTGCTGCTCAAAACGCGCTGCAGGACCTTTTGCTGTGCCTTGACGCACGTCTACCATTGACTTTGCATGTAAACTCGCTGCTTCTGCTGCGTCCGGTGTGAATTCAGCATAATGCTTTGATGTTGAAATAAAAGGGTTAACATTGGATCTCCACTCCACTAAAACAGACATTGTAGGGATTAGAGATGCACCGATGCTTCAACTGCAAGATATTTGTTTGGTCAATATTAGCATTTTTCTCTAGTATGCTGAGCAAGCATGTGTCATCCAGTTCATTCATGCTTTCAGCAGCCACTCCTTGTGTAAATTAGACTATTTAAAGACAACTAAGAAAATACAAATAGCCTCATTTGTATCTTCAGAAAATTACTGGTTGACAGCCTTACTTTTTTTTTCTTTTTTAATAATTGTAGGAATTATTAAGTGACTGATGCAGGAAAAGCATGTGGAGAAGAGGAGACCCAACTAAAGGCTGATTTATACTTTGAAACCAGGTCTTCAGTGTGAGTGTCTCGCAATGAATGCAAGTTCCCGATTGTCCGTCTTGCGTTGTGGCGTGGAATAACATAGCTCAGAACACGCTTCAATATTGGGCATAAATCAAAAATATCTGCAACAAGCTCACTGTGACACCCGCCCTTAAGCCTGATCCTCTAATCCAGAGGTGACCGATTAGTGGACCAGGGGCCGCATCTGGACCCATGTAATGGCTAATCCAGACCCAACCTGATTTCCAACATTTATAAAATTACAGCATGTTGTCCGACGACAGTGTCTAATTTCACTTGCGCTGCTTCTCCTGTTAATATGGTAAAGCCATCCAGAGCATCCGCAGGGTTCCTACAGCATAAGGCAAGTTAAATTCAAGATTTTTAAGACTTTTTAATGCAACTTGAAATAAAAATTTCATACTAAATTCACAAGAATCACAAGAAAACCCTGCCTGCGACAACTTTACCCAAAGGTTTATTTTAACATAAACCACTGCACTAATGTTTCGAATTTTGAAAAGCTTCCCATACAGGAAGAAAGCTAAAAACACACAAATGACAGATATATTTTAACAATTATTTAACTGAATTCACAAACTTTGTTTTAGCAGGGAACAAAACAAATCAGTTTTAAAGCCCCATCATAACCAGTGCTAAGTCTTTTTTGCAGCTATTTTTCTTTGTATGGTTTTCTTAGTATGTTTGATTTGGTGATGAGTGGAGGCGTTGCAGAGACAAGGGTGGAACTAAACTGAGAAATACCGGCTGTTTCTCGGTAACTCGATTTTGACGCTTTGTGTTTCGTGCTTCGCATGTGCGACTCCACTGCCTTAATTCCCATCGTTCTGAGCTTGAATGACTTCTTGCACAAAATCCACTGAGCCTCATGTATGTTCCCTGGTTTTAGCCATGGAGAAAACTCTTGGCTGGAGACAATTTTGGTTACACTTAAACTTGCTCATATTTTCCAGACAAAAAGTTAATGGCGCATCTCCCAAATGTTCCGGCCGCAACAACGCTTTTATTGGTTCCGCTATCGGAACGGAACCAATAATAGCGAGCCGTTATTTTTTTTTAACTAAAATTAAAAATGGTCAATTTTAATGTGTTATTTAGATTTAAAAATAAATCATAATAAAAATAATCCTATTTATGATGTTTTAAAAATTAAGACCTATGAAAGAGTGATTTAAGAAATTTTAGTACCAATTAAGGCCTTAGTTTTATTTTGAAGAATTCAAGACTTTTTAAGGACCCGCGGGAACTCTGATCCGGCTCCAGGTTGCACGTGATCCAAATGAGCCAATGAGCTGTCAGTCTGGGTTGCTGCTGCTGCTACTTTTCGACACAGCAGGCAAACCTGTGGCAAGCCGGGCGATGGGAAAGAAGGAGAAGACCATGAGAAAAAGAGAGCAGAGAAAGTGTGGACTGCTGGAAGAACTGCGGTGAACTGGTTAAAGAAAAGTGAAATGGCGTGCTCAAAGATGACCCTGCACATTTAGAGGATGTTTGGCTCAACCTGCTGCTGTGAAGCAGGATTCTCCACCATGAACAGAATCAACAATAAATCTGGATCCAGGCTCAAAATGAGCACCTTGATATGTGCTTGAGAATGGCTTAGTCTCCATTCAAACCCAGGTTTAAAGCCTTGCAGGGCAGCCTAAAGCCCACTGCCAACATTAAGACAGGAAAAACAAAAAACAAAAAAAGTGAGTCAGAAAATTGTCTATGTACTAAACTGAAAGATTGTTGTTCTCTACTTCAAAAACAGTTTAGATTTTTTTAAATTTAATGTATAACAAGGATGCATAAACACATGCTTTTTATTTAAGTATTAAATTTTGTTTAAAGTAATTAATTTTAATCAAAAATGTCTCTTGGGCTTTAGTGGTTGATGATTTTCTTTATTCAGACCCTGCTGATTTTTAATTGTTTACCCCTGATCTAAACCATGACGACATCAGGTGCTCTGACAGAATGGCAGACATATTCCAGTCATGTTTGGAGAGAGTGAAATACGCAGGGAACAAATCTTTACCATTATTTAGCTCTGATAGAGAGAAAGAAAGGAAATCCAAGTCAGAGGGAACGACATTTTACCTTTTTTTAAACAACAATCACAAACAGACTTAGACTAGAAGCTGAAGATGCCCAGAGCTCTGCTAATAATTCACTACAAGCCAAACAGTCAGAAGACTTGAAAGCACAAAGCACAGCACAAGTAATGTGATGAAATCATGATTGGGCAGCATCTACAGTGAATAAACCCATATGTAAACTATGCTAAACCTAAATCCTTTGGCAAATGAAACACCCAATAAAATAGAATTTAACTTTTAAGTTTGCCCAAAATAGAATTTAACATCCTCAATACAACAGGACGAGGGATTCCCTTACCAGGATAAATTCATGATCTCCTCTGCATGGCTCTGATTTCTTGGATTTCTTTAACTATCGCACTTCGTCTTTAACAGAGCAGCAATCGGAGGACTTTGTTATCCGTGTGGCAGAACAGAACCAAGCTCATACCCTTTATCTGCTCCACAGGGTCCAAAGGCCTCACCGAACACACAAACCTTTGGTAAGCAGCTACAGTTTCACTGATTTAAACTAGAATATCAAAGTCCTCCCTCTAGTTGTGACAAAATGATAAGGTTTTACTGTCAGGATGGGGCTACAGCTCAGCAAGGACCGTTCAGTAACATTACTGCACACAAACGCTGCTCAGGGGATGAAAGACTAACTCAACGGGAAAATGATTCCCAGAGCTACCAACCCAAAGGCCATTGCGTCATCCTTTAACAGCATATTAATTCAACGAGAACAATGACCACATCAACTGTGCACAACAATGCTCTCAATCTGCAACACACCCTGAGTGATTCAGTGCGGCTACTGCTTGGCATGCCGGGATGAGGCTTTGTGAAAGTGACTCTGGAGCATAAAACAAGTTCTTGGTCTAAGCTGCAAAAAAAAACAAAAAACAAGGCCACCAAGAATCAGCTCAACAACAAAATTTTTGCAAAGGTGATGTTTGCTGTTTGATCTCATCTTCTCTCTCCCACTGAGTGGTATTCAGTGTAAAGCTAGTTAAACATGATATACCTGAATTATTTCCACATTGAGAGAAAATCAGCCTAACAAGCGAGCCTTAAAACGAGACTTGATGAAATCTTAGATCATGACAATCCTTATGAGGAAGGAATGTGTAGAGTTAACTCGTCAAAGCCTCCAGCTGGCGAGTTACAACCTGCTGGATTTAATTCAGGTGTGAGTCTACTGGGGGGGTGGGGGGGTGTATTCAGAATACAAACTTCTGAAAGTACTTTAAAGTCGGAAAAACACTGTGCGTTTTTTTTGGGCAACTTTTCAGTCATGGGGTAACGAGGGGCGATCAGCCTTTCACGACCACCTTCCGATCAGCAAACGCGTGGGAGAAAATCAAACACATATATCTATCTATCTATATCTATATATATATATCTATATATAGATATATATATATCTATATATATATATAGATATATATATATAAAAACATACATACGTATATACGTATACATGCATACTAGCATACATACAGGTGTTTGATTTTCTGCCGACCACGCGTTTGCTGATCGGAAGGTGGTTGTGAAAGGCTGATCGCCCCTCGTTACCCCATGTACACTACATGATGCACGACGCACGATATATACATATATATTAAATTAGATGAGATTAGATGAGCTTTATTGATCTCACAGATAAAATACAAACAATAGGTTTGTTTTAAAATGAGGCCCATTTCAACTGTGGGTCCTTCATGTCCCTAACAAAGAGTGAGCTACAGTATTGGAGACCCCCCCCCCCCCCAAAAAACATAAATTCACTTTCATTTATCATCTGAATGGCGCCAATTTAGCTATTCTGGCTAACAAAGCAGCAGAAGTTCTCTGCTGTGTTTAGAAAGTGAGGATGTGATGATTGAAAAGGGGAAGGCATTAATAAAAAAAACCATTTGTGACATTAATAAAAAAGACATTTTGGAAATTAGAACGATAGATGGAGAAGGCTTTTGCCAAATTTAGGCCGATTTTAACATTCCTGAGAGGAAAGAACCAGAAGCACCTGTTTAAAGGCGCAGCTGGCAGCACAGAGTCCCTTCACCCACTAATTGCTGGATTAAACACACAAAAACAGAACTAGATCACAGTCAGCGTCCGCAACGTACCGCATAAGGTAATGAAAGGTTTAGATCTCTGAACAATGGAAATCAGAAGTAATTTTAATTTTATAATATGAAAAAAAAACTTTTTTTTGTTTATTCGTACAGTATCTAATACAGATGGAATGGCAAATAATGATATACTTTTTTTAAATTCAGCACATTGTAAAAATAATTACCTCCTTGTGTTATCAAACTATGATCTTGACACAAGAGGAAACTCTGGTTTTGAAAGGAAATTGAGCGAATTTAATTGTTATGCTTAATTTGAATTAACTTATTAAAGGTATACTATGAAATAGGTGTTGATTTTCCAGCGAGGCTCCCCCCAGAGGGCGAAAGTAAAAGTGCACTGTCGTAAATATGCTCAGCTGTTCTCCTGGTTTCTCCGTCAAGCCAGGCGCGGTTGTTTTGAGCTTAGCAGACAGGCGAACGCAACGAATCACCATGTCTACTGCGGTAAGTGACTATTTTGTTCCAATTTTCGAGTTTGAAAATTCTCGCTGGTTCCTCCATGATAACTGCACAAATATTGCCACTGCGCTAGCAACAAGCATTCACTGGGGGCGTGTAGCAGTTCTCGCCGTAAAGCAAGACCGACTCTGGCGATGCACGAGAATTCTGAGCCTGTGGGTGGGGCCGAGGGCTCCTGCAATTGCAAGTACGGTATTTCCCCTACAGACCACCAGGGCAGCCGAGAAAACCTTCGTTCGACCTGAAATTACTCATTTAATCATCCAAAAAGTTATGGAACACATTAATTAACTGAAAAATGTTGCATAGTATGCTTTTAATGAAAAACTTGTATCCCTTGAATTAATTATGCATACTTTATTAATAATTCTGTAGTGTAGGATGAAAAAGATTGACCACATGGTCCATCTCAAACACAGGATAATAACAACAGGTATGAGAACAACTGCCCCAATAATTCTCACTAATTGGTTGTAGAAACAGAGGAGGGTAGAAGAGATTGTTTCTATCAGCGTGCTAAAATCTGAGATTTTAGATTCATGTCCATTGATTACAATATTTATTTTTAGGGCTGATACTGGAACACATTTTTAACATCATCGTCTGATGAGTAAATCCCAACAAGCTTCAGTTTGAATATGAAACTGAATCTGGATCAGATTGAAATAAGAGTGATGTAATAAGCCCCAGATTTTAAGATTAAAAGCTTGAGGGAATAATGATTAACTCTTCTCTCTGTGTCTCAGTGAAGGCAGCAGTGCATTTTTTGTTTTCCCACATTATATTTGTCTCCTAGGATTTCAAAGCAACTTTATAAACTAACAGTGAGCATGGTGTCAATGTTGTATTTGGAACCATAGGTAGAATTTATCTATAATGAGAAGTTCATGGAAGATATGAACAGCAGAGGATGAATGTGAAAAAGCTCAGTAATGTTTGGTCTTCCTCCAGAGCAAAACTCCACCTTTAGTTCAGGGTTCATCTCTTTTGCTGCGTTCACACCGGACGCAGCAGGAGCAGCAAAATGCTGCTTCCTTTTTGCTGCTTGTACCAGTTAGTTCTGACGCGTGGCTGAAGCAGCTTTGCTGCTCTGGCTGCGCGGTGAAAAAGTGGGTCTGACGCTTGTTGGGCGGAGCTACTCTATCCTTTCTTTGCCTTGCAGTTATATTTGCTGTGATCAGTGGGAATAAAGTAGTTTTAATATGTTTTTAAGAGAGAAAGTCCACCTGAAAACTTAATCAGTGCAGTCAGTTCATCCAGATTACCATCCTGCCTTCCAATATTATTTCTGTCGGTAGGAATCCCATTCAACAGCAGCCTATGGCCGGGTCGCCTCCTCGCGGTTTGCCGCAGCCTGGAAGGTGGTTTTCATCTACATAATGTACCATGTACCACCATCAGTGTGTGAGTGTGTGCGTGAATGGGTGAATGAATGTAGTGTAAAGCGCTTTGGTCAAGTCTCATGGCTTGAATAAGGGCGCTATATAAGTACATGCCATTTACCATTTACCATAATCCAAACTGCAGGCACCAGGATAATAAAAGCGAACATATTCTGTCGGCAGGTTTCAGCATTTTAAGTTAATTTAGGTGTTAATAAACTGTTTCAGAGGAACGATCATAGCGCTCTGTATCATCAGCGCTGTGTCTGTCTCCCTGCCAGCTCCCAGATCAGCGTCTCTGATTGGTTGATGCGGTGCATCGAGCAGCAAAAGTTCTATTTTGCCATCTCGAGCAGCACGCCTTTGCGGCGCGTTTCCGGCACGTCGCGTGCGTCAGATGCTTAAACGCTCCTGACGCGCTGCTTCAGCTGCTCAGACGCGCTGCACCTGCTGCTCAAAAAGAGCCTTTTGCTGCGCCTTGACCTGCGTCAACAATTGACTTTGCATGTTATTTCGCTGCTTATCCTGCTTCTGCTGCGTCCGGTGTGAACGCATCATTAAGCCCGAGGAACAAAAAAAGGAAGAGAAACAGTCACCAACAACGACCTAAGACTTTTTTTAAAGATGTGTTTTCCTCCAGGAGCTTCCTAGAAAATGCAGAGTTTATCAGCACTAAAGAACCTACAGTTAACTTGTCTTTTCTAAAATTATCTGAATTTAAAGTAGTTCTAATGTGACTTTAAAGTTGAAGCTGGTAAAGTTTTTTAAAGCCTTATTCTTTGGCTTATTAATGATGCAAATATCAAACAAAAATAAAAAATATCCGCTGGTACTCATCTCTCACAGACAGTCATCACCTGCTTTAAAAAATGAAAAGAAAAGCCCAACTCTCTTCAAAGATAGATCATTTCATCCTGGTGTTTGATGATGCAGCCAGGGTACCAACCTGTTTTGCTCCTCCAGCTTGGCGAGCAGCTCCACATCATCGGGGCTAAGCTGAGCCGGCGAGGACGGCGAGAGGGCAGGCGAGGACAGAGATGTGGAGGAGGAAGTGGCGGGGGTCTGTAGAGATGTGGGCGGGGCCACCTGGCTAGCCATCTGACTGACAGTGTGGGAGACCGAGTTCTTTACCCATGAGAGAGTAGAACTCAGCTTTCCAGCAACCTTGTCTGTCGCCACCTGCAGAGGATGGAGAAAGATCCCAAAAATCAGTCTTTTTATTCACACGTTAACAGGCATCGTTCCAACCTCAGAGAGCTCAGTTTCACATCCATGTCACACCTTTCTTGTTCTCATGTTTATTATGACAAACAAAGCATTTAGATTCAGTTAGAAGTGAAGATCAGACAGCATCCAGTCTGTCTGGAACAGATCGATGCTGCTGCTTAGCTTTCAGCAAATTAGTTCATCCCTCTCTGATTTCCCAATCAATGCTTCAAACCGCTTGCTTGTGTAGCAGTAAATACTTGCAGAGTCAGTCCAGAATCGTGACAACCAAGAATGGATGCGGACTAAAAACATCACCGTTTAGCCATCTCCTTTACAGATTAACAATAACAAAGCTCCGTTATAGATAAAACAAGAATACAGAGAACACCTTTACTTTAATATGTCACCTTCACCTTGAAAACTATGGAGTAAAGTTTTTCCATTAATGTTGAAAAAAATATAAAAGGCAATGCAGAAATAAAATTTTAAAATAACTGCTTTTTTCCTCAGATTTTATTCTTTCACTTTTTTATATTTTTTCTGAACTTTTTTATTGAAATTTCTATTTTTTTATATTTGCTATTACGAATTCTATTATTTTCAAATTGTGTTTTACAGATGACATTTTCTTCCCATCAAGCCAATAGAGACGTTCGCTCTTGACCAATAAAAATACTGTTGCTAAGATCCAACAGGCAGAGAATGTGAGCAAGAAAACTCGATCGAAAATAGAAAGCAATCAAAAAAAATTTTTTAAACTGAAAGAAATGGTTAAGAAATTAAAAAAAAATGTATTATGAAAAAAAAGAATCTGAGAAAACGGCAGTTTCTATCAAAACCTTTTTTTTTTTTATTTGTGATTTGCATTTTTTTTTATTTCCATTTACAAAAAAATTGCCAACAATAATGGAACAGAATTTCTCAGCAGAAAAGTGACACGTAATCTGAGCAGAGATCAAACCTTGGCTAACTATACACGCTAGCATACATGCCTATTATGGTAGAATAAAAAGTTTTAAAGCATTTCCTTTTCATAAACACTGTAAGAAATAATTAATAAAACCCTGTGTTATAGCATAAAAGTAACATTAACTTTCTTACCTGCTTTTCCCTCCAAAAAAATCCAACCCCGTCAGCTTCTCTCCATGACAAACAACTTTACCAAGAAAGGATTTGATTTTAAAACGGCTGAACTTTAAGTTTCACCAACAGCCTCTTCTGAACCTTCGACCGACTTCACACAGCCTTGCAGTCATATGCTGATCATACAGGCAGGAGGGGTCAAAGTGCTTTATTCAAGATAGTTCTTCTAGTCTGCTGTTTAAATCAGGCAGCTCTGCTTTCCTTAGAAAAGAACGAGTGGGAACACTTACAGCTCTACCAAAGAGAGTCACCGCCTTTATTTTTCCAATAAAATTAGTTATTCTATTGGGGAAACGGAGCCTGGCTGTAGTAACATAGTAAACAATCTAAAATGGAAGATAAAAAAAAAAATAAAAGAAAGAAAGTTTTATCTCTTTATCTATATTCCAAGAAGATTCTCCCTGGCTTGAGCTTTTATGATTCGCCTTTATGATTATATTAGGATTTGTTTTCTCTATTGAACAGTGTTGGATTTGGTTGGCTCTATCCTCTTATGAAACATTTTTTTAAACCCGCTGTGAAAATAAATAAATTAATCTGAATTACTTTAGAGGAAACAACAACAAAAGAAATATTTGTTTTAAAATGAGAGAACAATGACCTATGATACAAAAAAAGACCATTAGAGATCAGATATTTGTCTAAAATTAGTGCCTCTGATTGAATCTGAGGATGAAGATACGAACCACAACAAGGAAATAAAACCAAACAAATGCAGTTTTTAAACAGGATAAAGATGGCAATGTTGTGCTTTGCTCAAGGAAGTCAGAGAAACCCGTTTATAGTTTATTGATCTAAGAAAAAAAACAATGCTTTTCCACTGAATTGCTTCCTATGACAAAGGGCCATAAAAAAGTAAAAAATAAAGCAGTAAATATGCCTACATTTAAAGGGGAACATCAAAAGGATCATGAACGAGTTTCAACATAAAAACTAAAAGTGGTTCATGCTAGGGGAGGGCAACATGAAGAAAATTTAATATCATGATATCTTTGGGCTATATCACGATAAGATCAATTAACAATGAAAAATTAATGTTCTTAGCCACATAATGCCTAAAGTTGCATTTGTATAGGTCAATTGATTGCAAATTAAAAATTTATTCAAAATCGGCTACACATAGAAGTTTTTCACAAATTACAACATTGCAACATATTGCAGTGGTCAACATTGGACCTTAAAGTCGTAGGGAAGCAGCTGTTCTAACTGTTGCATTTCCGAATTCTCCCGAGTGGTGCCCAACTTTACACGAGTGAATAAAGTGAATGTGATTGGTCGTTTATCAAGGGGGCGGAATTGTTGTGGTGGAAGGTTTGCACGCTAGTTTGGTTGTGGTCGGTTTGTGGGAAGCATCTTGCTAACCAGTTAGCAACTTAGTGCTAGTAGGTTCCCAATGGGAAATTCCATTGGGACCAAGTAGCACTAAATTGGTGACTTAGAAACGACACTGTCAAGGAACGCTACGGACAGCGGAAACATGCAAGAGGAGGAGAGTTTAGTGTCTGAGGTCGTGGATGAGTCTCCTCCGTCATCCATTTTTTATTTAGAGGAGGAAAGCGGGGATGAAGATGTTGTGGAAGAGGACGCCAGGGCGGCAGAAGCTTGGTTTGGTGTAGAAGGCTTCCAGCCGTACATGTTTGAGCCCTTGCCTCGCAACGCTGCCAGTTCTGTTAGCTCTACACCTGCCGAAGACACAGACGTCCATCCCCGTGAACACTGGGACAGAACTCAATGGGAAAGGAAATAATGGTTCTCATTTCTTATTTCAACCGTTGCATATATTAGCTGCGACATATGAATCAGGATGCTATAACCAAAAATATGTGTTCGACAAATGACCGTTGATATATGATCGGTAGAATTTAGCTGTACAAGCTGATGTATAACTAACTGGCCTGCATAAAGTAACGGTAAAAAAAATACAGATTTTAAGAAAGAGATTTTATTCTAAATAGTCATTTTCTAACTTTTGGGACAAAATGGTCTGATAAAGTACATTTATATACGTGTTTAAGCCAGAATTATTTGAAATTTAAGTATGATTTCCATAAGACTTTAAAAACAGAACATCCCAGTGGTCAAAAGGAACACCACGGAAAAATGACACAAAATACACCATAAGCATCTTTTGTGCTCTTTTACAACAGTCTTCATTTTGCACTGGATGACTTTTTAGTTGGTGGAATAAATTTATGGTACTGCTATCTTTTGTGGCAATGGTCTTCCGAAATGTTTTTACCGCATTTTGTATTTATATTTTTTTTATTTTTCATTTTTTTATTTATTTTATGGTAGCTGATATGGAAGTCCCAAATCTCATTGGATCCGTTGCAGAATATGATGACAATAAAGGCTTTTTGACTTTGACTTTTCAACATTCTTCTTGTCAAATCCAAACCACTGCCATACTATTGAACCAGTGCTGTTTTCTCTTCGGAACCAGCTCGCCTGGGTCCTCTTCAGACTCATTTTCTTTTCCATCTGAACTCCCGATGTCGCTATGGTTCTTGCCGTCTCTCAACATAAGTAAGTGCACATGCTAATTGTTGTGTGTACACAGACAGTAACACGAGGGTCGGCTAGAGGAGACTTGACTAAAAGTGCTTTTAGTCAATGAGTCTTTGCAGTCACAGCAGCTCAGGAATGCATTAGTTGAATGTCTTCCATTAACAAACCATGCTGCCACTTGTGCCTCTGCTATATATATATATATATATATATTTTTTTTTTTTAGGGATGCACAATATAATCGGCCCCCTATCGGTATCGGCCTGTATCGGCCTTAAAACTGAATATCGGACATCGGCCACCCCACCGATATTTAACCCGATATCTCATCAGCTTCTGAGTTTCTAAAGTCTAAAAAAAAAAAATAAATACTACTTCTTCTTCTTCAAAAACTTCTTTTTTACAGACTTAAAAACTTCTAAAGACGAGGGAAAAAATATTGATACATTAAAATATCATAATATCTTCATATGCTGATATATTGCCATTTAAAAACACCATATCAATCTCTTTTACTAATGAAATATTGCTATATGTCATCGTTATGCTTCGAAATCCCCCCGAAAATTCAAAAAATTTTGCCATATTTTAACAAAATCTCACAAGAATTTGCAAAATATCACGAGAGTTTGTAACAGAACGATGAAATTTCACCAGATTTTGAAAGTAAAATAGATCGATACCACGTTTTTAAAAATCGATTTGATATCAGCATATGAAAATATATTTGAGTATATTATTTTTCAAAGTGTCAGAAATGGATAACAAAACTGCTATTTTCAATGACTATTTTTGTCCAGCTTTAACATCAGTATCGATATCGGTTATCGGCTACATGAGTTTTAAAATATCTGCATATCGGATATCGGCCAAAATCCCAATATCGTGCATCCCTAATATATATAGTTTAATTACTTTTATTCTGTTTTATTCTATTTTATTAATAGTGTTGCAGCATACCAATATCGGGCGGCACTAAAATTATGGTATCGGTATCAGCGAGTACCAACTAATAGGCACCGATACCATTTTGAGAGCCAAAGGCTAATTCAACTATTGTCACCCATTTCAGGTAGGAAATAAAAAGTTCTACTGGATTCATTTTGTCTTAGTCTTTTTCTTGCTTCATAAAGGTAGACAGCAGCTTGACAAAACCATGATGGTGATTATTTTACATCCTAGTAGTATGCAGTCTTTATATATACACACACAAACATCAAGTTCAAACAGATTGTGTCGGTATCGGCAAATACTGCACAACCAGGTACCGGGTATAACATAGCATCAGTGCAACACTATTTATTAACCTAAAATCTGTA